AAGTTAGAATTTTTGAAGTTATTTGCATAACAAACTAGTCATCAGTAAGTGTTTTAAGAAAGTGTTTTTGTTGAAGTATGAAAACAAAAAATGTACCATCAGCTAAAGTTTTAAAATAGATTTCTGCAACAATTAGAGTGGTCATTGACAATTGCATGCAATCAAAGATAAATATATATTTATCTTCCAATGAACTGTGGAAGATTTTCGCTAGTAAAATAATCGCCTTTAGATTAAATAAGTAACTTAAAGGTAGAAATGTTTTTAAAAGAATTATACAGAGCGGAAACTTAACGCGTGGTAGCCCTGCGTTTAACAAGACAATTGCTCCTGTTATAAACAGTTCTTCCAGCCTACGGAGACCTACCTTTCTTGTCCTTGCTAGTTGGTTGCGACTGAAGAACAAGCGAGTAATTACACAGTTCTGAAAGATAATTTAAACTAAATATGCGCATACAAACTTGAATGCGAAGCACTTCCGTCTTTGCATGCAGTCACAGCATGCCTTTAAACTCAAGGGAAGGGAGGGACGGAGGAGGAATGTGGAGGAAAGCGCGTACTGTTGCAAGCGGTAATAATCGTCACGTTTTGTAATCCATGTCGCAATGTTTATAAACCCTGTCGCACTTTGTAATAAAACAAAGAAAAAAGCTGTCGCAGTTTGGAATCAATTAGATAGAACATTGCACTTTGTAATAAAGTAAGCTGTCGCACTTTCGTAAAAAATTTCATACTCCACTTTATAATAAAACTTTTTGATTGTTATTCAACTTAATTGGTCAACATTTTGTCAATTTTGTCTTGTCAAAACATGAATGTTGTCTCAAGGTGATGACGTCTTCAAATACGTAACTCACGGAATTTTTTTTACCTCCGCTTGTTTAAAACAGTTCAATTTATTAGACATAAACATTTGTTTAAATTTAGGTTGGATTTTTGTGTAACTTACAAAATCCTGCAATAGCGAGCGCGCGCGGCGGAGTCCCATTGCTATAAAAATTGGAAACCCATCGATCACGCAGAAAATTTAATTATTACATCAGCGTACGTCCGCCCGTCGTGGATAACAGAGAAAAGGTTAGCGCAAAAGATAAAAAACCAAAGAAGACGAATTTCTTTGGATGAAAAAAATTCAAAACCTTTACAGGCTGCGGTGAGAAAATGAGAAATGCTAGCGGCAGCGCAAAAAAAAAACAGGAACACAAGCAACATTTTTTTTGGTGAGCACATACGATATTTCCTCCATAAAACGTAACTAGGAAGTTTCATGTTGTAGTCGTGCAAACAACGACAAAGAAATGTACAAAAAAGTGCGCTGCGCGTGCAAAGTTGTTTTTTGCTATTTAGACCTTCTTATTTCAATTTCTTTTTTACCTCTCTCGTTGCCGTCGCCGTTCACTATTTTATTTTTTGTTTGAGTAAGCATAAGTACATTAACGAAATACGACACTATTTTTGGATCTAATTTCTCTGCCTTAATTAGGGCCAATATAAACTCCAGTAACCGACGGCTGATTTGGATCCACCACAACATAGCACCAGACTTTGAAAGTTTTCCTTTCGTATCTTGTTGTTAAGGATAATAGCAATTACCTATGTTCAGATTCGCTCAATTTGAGCTTGTCTCAAGGTAACGGCATACTATTTTCATTTCATAGAAATTAGCGGATCACAAACAAACAGAAACATCAGGAAGTAATATAATGATGAATTTAAAAAAAAAAAGGTAAAGAAAGGCACAAAGAAGCCTCCAGACTGCTAACAAAGTCCGTTTATGATAGTGCACGCAGCTCTTTTATGGGAAACAACTTCGTCAATCTTATTTTAAAAACATGTTCTACACTAAAGCGCAGTTCATAATAGTGTTGACTTGTAGTGGTAAATTTTCATAAGATTCTTTTTGTGAGTACAGAAGAAATGCTAAAGGCTCTTGGCAGAAGGACAACCAAAGAGGCCTTAGATCAAAACAGCACTAACAATAATGATCATGATCACTATATATGAATTCTTGTGATCAATTTTAATAGATATAATTGTAAAAAATTGTAATAAATCCTATCAATAGAAACTATTCTACTAACTAAAGGAGGTTTCATCTTCATTCTTGAGCGTTCCCTTTTAAGAACGTTTTCCGTGTCGAAGTTTGTAGGGATATTGTTTACAGTTGAGACGTCAGCGCGAAATCTGCCACTGAAATGGAAGTGTGGCCACAAGAGGTAGTTCATGTAAGGATCATTGGGAAGGTCAGCATCTAGAACGCGTCCAAAAAATAATAATCATTTAGTGGCTACAAACTTTAATACTTTGTTCACGTCCCCCACAAATCGTCGCATTTGGAGATTTCACGTCATTGTCGTGCAGTGGACGTCAAAGAAGCGTGATGCCCGTGAAAAGCTGTTATTTTGCTCATAAAACCAATTGTCTTTACGTTATCGTCGTTGTCATGGTTGCTTCAGTATTATTGGACTACCTGGTTTATGGGAATACCATTTTCTTCCCTTTCTGTTATTCTTTCATTCTCAATTAAACCCACATCGCCCCCCACCCCTAAAAAAGAAAACAACCACACAGCTCCCTTAATGATGGCTAACTATACTTGTACTTTATCTACGTTCCTTACCTTCGTTGGTAAAAGGTTCGTTTTTGTAGAAATATTTATCAAAGTAATGTAGCCTCGAATTATGAGAAGAAGACAAAGTTGCAGTGGTGGTAGGTAGGAAAACAAAAAGGGCGAAGTTACAAAGAATCATTAAGCGCCAAGAAAGTGACGAGAACCTATAATGCAGGATGGCGAAAGCCAATTCTTCGGAATCCTCTGTTGATTTGCTTAATACAACAGTAAACAGATTGATAGCATTGATATGGCGCATGTTATATCTTGCGTAACAAACCTTTGAAAGAAAATAAAGACAATTAATATGTATGAAACTGAATATGATCCTCTCAATATAAAGCAAGTAAAGCGAATAAACAACTTTAACGGTTGAAAAAGAACCTGAAATAAAAAAATTCATGTCCTGATTTCCACCATCCGCAGGTATATTAGGAACTCGCAATATGGCCCGCTCTCCAGTTGGCTTGATAAGCTCGATGGATAGTGCGTTGCGTCCGGTCATAGCAAAGGTTCCCAGTCAAGCATGACTTTTTTTTCAGGTTCTTTTTCAACCGCTTAGGTTTTTTTTTTTTCTCAACTGCGATGATCGTAGTATTCACTTTGAAATCTTCACCTGCAATTCAAAATATGATCATTTTCATAATTTCATTTCACAATTAATAAATATGTATTAAATACTTCTCCTTTCAACTTCCCGTATTTTGTTTAACAAGACATCTTTCTCTAACCCTCGGCCCTGCCTACGGCCTTCGTGGGTCAAATTGACACTTACAAAGCAGAATTAATTTATGAAATATCCGGCAGAAGAACTGAAACTGGGCTTACAAGGAGGACTATGATCATGATCACTATATATGAATTCTTGTGATCAATTTTAATAGATATAATTGTAAAAAATTGTAATAAATCCTATCAATAGAAACTATTCTACTAACTAAAGGAGGTTTCATCTTCATGGTCACTGCACTCAGCAGAGCGAGCAACAGCCTACAACCTTAGAGGTGCCTATTAGTTAGACTTATCAAGCGTGAGGACTACCACCTGTTGATTATAATTTACTGTTCAGATATGCTGCTCCCCACAGGGGCATACCCAGCCTTTCGACTAGGTTGTAGGCCTGGCTGACTTTCATTTCCACATCTTGAAAACTGCTCGCATGACTAGTACCCACTGACCTCACCAACACTTTGAGCTCTTACGCTTTTTAGCTCACCCCTAACCACGCATAATCTATTACATTAGCCGGAGTGATCAAACCAAAAATTTGTAGGCCAGGGCCTACAGGTCTATGGGCTGGCTACGCCCCTGCCCCGAGTGTGGAATACATACTCTGACTGATGCATCAGAATTTCAGAGACACTCATCATATTCAAGCCCACAATTCTAAATACAATATTGCTGCATAGCTTTTAAATGAGACTATTTGTATGCATGTATGTGGATATTTTGTTTTATTTTTATGTCATTTTCTAATAATTTACTTTTTGTATGTTGAATTTCACTCAGATTGCGAGATAAGTTAAATCTGAGTTGAAATAAAGTTATATGTATGCATATGTAAATAGCTGCATTATATAAAAATTTGCAATAATTTTTTTTTTTGTAAACGATTTAAGGCTAGGATTATCATGTCCAGGTTTAATATGGGCATCCGAGTGCAGAGCTCTTTAATAGAACCACTTTTGTCAGAGACTGATTTTTTTCTCCACGCAAAAGTCATCTTCAGACGGAATGGACTTGCGTTCTGTTTGTTGAGGGAATTAAAAACTGATTATCATTCAATGCAAGCTTTTCAGTCTTCCTTTTCATTGGCCAAGAGCCCACAACGTGGTCTGCAAATAACTGCCTACAAGTAATAGTCTACTCATGTGCAATGTCGTTCAACTGTGTTTGGCTGCAAATGATGTTCTGTTCATGAGTAAATGAAACCACTCTTTTCTACTTCATTTGATCACTCTTACGTGAAAATGGCAAAATGGCAGATATTCATTAAAATCAAACTCGGAGACCAAATAATAAAACAATATAATTATTGAAGTTGGTTGTCACAAGATATCCTGATTTGTCAGTGTTGTGCAGATCAATTATTTGCCTCAGCCCTCTACTCGCTGATCTGCTTGCCACTGACAAATCACCATATTTTGCTCAATCTTCCAATAATTGTTATTATTGTCCTAAAAAGTCACCTTTCAGTGAATCTTTTCATCCACAATGTTATTTGTGGTGAGCACTCTAAACATGAGCAGTCTATGATCTGTCCTTTCTCACAGTCATATGTCCTCTGTCAATTTGCAGGTTAGTCTAAATTGTTATATAGTTTATGTTCAGTTGGTCGAAACGTATGGAGTATTGAGCTGCAATTCTGGCTAGTGATATAGTTAAGTTGTTAAATGTTTTTGGCTTGTTGACTGGGTACTAATTCAGCATGAGTTTGAAGTTCCACATCACTACCTATTGATTTGTTTGCCATCCAGGACAGGTACATATTCCAACAAAGAGAAACTAATTGAACAAAATTGGCTCGGTGCTGAAGAGGTACTACCGAAAAATTCACTGCCTGCACCAAAGGCCAGATCTTGTACCCAGTTAGCATAGTCTTTATATATCTCTCTTGCAACAATAGTTTAACTTCACGGAGTTCTTTTCCAGCCAAAATCCCAGAAAGTGAATAAAAGAAGAATATAATAAATGGCCCATATATTGTTTGGTCTACAATTAATTTCTTGACAATCTGTATCTTGGATGTAGGGGGTATAAAGCGTTCCAGTGTAAGAAACCACGTCCTTTGAATTGGTCCAACAATTATGCCCATAATTCCCATCCGCAGAGTTCTTCTGCCATCGTGGTTCCATCTTTTTTTTTCAACTAGTTGTTGAGTCAAGGTATCACTGACAACAAACAACATGGCTGAAACAAGGCAACAGGAAAAATTCTAACATGTCTTCAAAGGTGCAGCTTAGGGAATAGTTCTGGGGGAGAGGAGGGGGTACACTCCCTGGAAAGGGGAATACTGTTATATAATATTATGGGATATACAGGTATGTGCCACAGTGAAGGGTATGGTTTTCAAGCAACTTAGTCTGAAATAGGGTTAAGAAATCACAGAGTTTGTGTCTAGAATAGGTTATCATTTTCAAGGAAACCGATCAATTGGCAAATTTTAATTTACCGCCAGCTCAGTTTAATAACAAAGAAAGTGTTGACCTCGGTATTTTCTGGAAAAATACTACTCTAGTATAGGGAGAGGTTTTGGAAGTTAATTAAATAAGTCTAGTTTATTGTAGCAAAATTCAGCCCAGCTAGGTCTGATATAGGCTAAGTGTTCCGGGATCCCAGCGGCCATCCCAACCCAAACAATCCTAACATACCTCCCCCAGGGTACACTGGGTAAATTTTTGGGTGAGGGTATGCCAATGAGACCCAGAAGGCTGCCTTATACAAGTACTACATCGTTGCTTGCCTGCACTTTTCCCACACTAAATTAGAAATCTACATTGTTACTTATTACTGATCTTAGTTTCCCTGGAGTGGGGGCTTTTGATCACCTAAATGGACCTATAAAGCGGCATTTGAATGGCCCCAGTTTGGCTCGGGGATCGCGGGAGGCTTGGCGCACGCTACTGGTGTACACGAGCGTAACACCGTGCCTTATGCACGATTCGCGCTCAAGAAAAGGCACGGTTTTTGTGCCAAAGCACGGGAAAAAAACATGCAAAGGCACAGATTAGGCACACTTTAGGCACAGTTAAGGCACGTTTTAAATATTGCTAAGGCACATTTTAGGCACAGTTTGGGCACAGTTTTGGCACGGTTTAGGCACAAATATTCAATGCTGGGCACTTTTTTGAAAATCTTTGTAACCCGACTTGCAAAAAAGAACAAACTTGGTACGAATTACAAAAATAATTCAGATCAAACACGATACAGTTAGAAGTATAGGAAGCGTAAGTTTTGAGCCGCGCCGAAAGTCTGGAAAATTGAAGTATTCTTCGACAGTCCGTGTTTACTCCGAGGATAAAGAGGAAATTCACACGCGATAGATGCGGTCTGAACCTTTTCCATTGCCATGCAATTTTATAGACTCGCTTTCTTTCGTTTCTAAAAGAAATCGTGAAAGAAAGTCGAAGCCATAATAACAAAAACAAAGCTAAAGAAGTAAGGCACAAAAATAGCCAATAAAAGTCGTAGAAAGTACTTTTTGCGATCGTGGTAAAATTGGCCTGAATTTGCATAACAACATGAAAAGTACAAAGTGGTAATTTGAAACCTTCATGCCAACGCGCGTTGTTTTTTAAATACAAAATGCGGCTGCTTTTTAAAATATTTCTCTAACTAAAAAGTAGGATTTACACTTAGTAGTAAAATAATTCAAGCTGCTTGTTTGTTTTTGTTTTCTGGCTCTGTTAGCAAATTAAGCTTTGATCGTATAATAATCGATGAGACGTGCCATTTATTTTGCTTCAAAACTCATCGGCGTGCAATCAATTTTTTCGTTTTCATTTTATAAGTCATATCACAAGTAAATTCTTTTTTTGAATGCAAATCTGCCCTCCTGAAAAAAACAAATATTTCGTTCCAACTAAACGCTCCGTTAAGAAGGGGAGAAGAAACCTACTCGGAAATGTTTTAACATCGATGGAATTAGCATATCAACAATGTAATTGAGCTGAGTACTTACTTTAAATACGCTAACCTGTTTAAGATTCCATTTTCCTGTTTGTCGGGGCTTTCCCTGCTGTCTCTAACCGTATTCTGAGTCATGTTATTTCTTATTAGGGGATAAAAAGGTCGTCAGACCGTGTTTCTAGACTTCGTAAACCTCAAAACTGACATAATTGCCGTGCGCTCTTTTCGTTCGCTGTGGAGCTCGATAGGCTGGACACGATTTTCCGAGTGACTCAATATTTTGGCACAACTTGTGCACAGATTAGGCACAGTTTGGGCACAACTTAGGCACGGCTTAGGCACGTTTTTCAAAACTAAAATGCACACTTTATGCACATCTTAGGCACATTTTAGGCACAAAATCTTTATGCCAAAGCACACTCTAGAATCTGATTTTCGGTCCAACGCACGGTTTACGAATTTTCACGTTAAAAAAATGCTGTCTAACCTTACATATTTGATCTTAGCGTAAAAATGGGTTTCCCGAAGTCTTAACAGTTAGTCTATAAGGAAGGTTTAACTTATGAGCATTCCAAAAATTATTATTTCTTTTCTTAACAACAACAGAAAGTCAATGAAAAGCAATCTTTTAAATTGACGTTCGCGCTGCACAGAGATCGTATGTAGACAGAACATCTTTCTGAAAACGCCCTTAACTTTGTTGTTTTGCCATTATGTTCAGTAATTTTTAATACAGTTAGTACTCATAAGTCACTGACCTCTTCGGAGAAATTTTTCCAAAGTACCATTAACAGAAACAGAGAAATCCCACAATATGCGTGGTTAGACTGTAAATGTTACGCGAGCTGTTAAAAAATGGTCCCATTTTGAGCCATACTTTTCATATTTCAATTTTATTTTGGTCTTACAGCCAGAAAAAAAATATTGAATGAAAAGCTGTTTATAAACTTTAACTTCTTGCCAAATATCGATGCGATCTGAGTTTTAATAAGTTCATAAGAGCCAAACGATGTGAGATTCTTAGCCGTGTACACCAGTAGCGTGCGCCAGGCCGGGAGTGAGGAATTTTTTAAAATTTCAAATTCCTGGGGGTTGCCCAGGGAGGGAACCTTGAAGTTTCGATTTGATTTCGAAATACCGAGTAGAATTACCTGCCGTTTGTATTTTATTTATTCGTTATTCAAGGTTTGCATTTTTTTCCCGGTTATGCCTCAGGCGACAAAAACGAAGCATCCGGGCAGAATTGGCTTGAATTTAAATAAATTTTCGTTTGGCACGCTAAAAGTGACAATCACTCTATAAATAAGGCTGCAGTAACGTTGTCACAAATTGTAGCAAGGAAATAATGAATTGTACGTGTTCTGAAGAGAATGAAAAGGATTAATTCAGTTCACTGTTGTTTACAACAAGCTTGACCGGATTAAAACAATCGATTGCATCATAGAAGCGAATTCTGCGATATAAAAGAAATAACGCAAAATTATCATACCTGTTGTTAGCGTTTGAGTTCTCCAAGGGTTTGTGGAAAGATGTCTTTGATATGTTGCCCAAACTCTTGAGAAAACCTTAAATCTCATCCTTCAACAGACCTTGCTCGTGAAATGTAAACAGTGCTTTACAACCAGGCGTTCAACTGAACTCGATGTCCGCGCGCGCGGTGAAGGACTTGGACGGAAAAATTTCCCAGTCCTGCTCGGTCAAACTTTGGGTTCATGGGCGGGGCTATTTGCTGTTTTGCACAATTCTCGTCACTTGGAGGCCACTTTTACACCAAATTGACTTTTTATTGTCAAAATAGAGACAGTTTAGCAAAGTATGGGTTGAAAATAAACATGTTAATTCTACCAGGGGAGAGATTTAAGCAAGCAGGTTGTTAGACAGGTGTCTGCATTCGTAAATATAACATCAACCCGTTTTAACACATGACAGGTTAAAGGAAGTACACTTTTGATTCCCTTGACATGAAAGCTAAAAATT